TGGGGAGAGCAATGAGAAATGGAGTTAGAAAAAGGAAGGGCAGATTGTGAGGCATGTAGGAGTTCTTGGAGAACCTTGTAGACTATTTAGGAGGCTTTGACTTTTTCTTTGTTTTTATCGATTTTTGAGAGAGAGGAAGGGAGAGGGAGGAGGAGCGGGAGAGACAGAGAGAGACATCGATGATGTGAGAAAGAAACACTGATCCGTTGCCTCTGCACACACCCTGACTGGGGATCAAACCCCAAACCTGGGCATGTGCCCTGAGCCAGAATCCAACCCTCAACCTTTCAGTGCACAAGAGGACACTCAACCAACTGAGCCACACTGATCAGGGTGGGGCTTTGGCTTTTAATCTGAGTAAAATGAGGAGCCACTGACCAATTTTGAGCAAAAAGGTGACAAAAACTTCCCTCACGGGGAATCAAATAAACTTACATCAAATCTTTTATTATACACATATCATTATGTCGCTGAAAGGGTTAAGCCTATTAGAGGGAAATTCTGTATCTGGAAAATACAATTTAAATGATATAAAATGAATTGTTACCCTATCTTACAAAGTTGTTTTCTGGCCCCAAGTCATTATCAACAGAAGGGCTGGTGATTTCAAGTCCAGGAGATAAGATCTGACAGGGTGCCCTCTTTCTTGGCGCCTGAAGCAAGGAGCCCAGGTGCTCATGATGCCTCCTACTGGCACACCCTAACCCACCAGCGCCCATCTGGCCAGGGGTGGCAGGCTAGACTCTCACTTCCCATTTGCCGCTGGGGAGGCCAGGTAGCTTCCCAGGAATAAAGGCATGAGATCCCTGGTTATCAGTGAAGGGCCCTCGCTCCTGGGGTCCCACAAACCCACCCATACCTGAGACTCCGAGATTAGACAGAGAGAAGAGAAAATGTGGCACCTGATTCTTCCGCTGAGGATTTTGAACTTTTTTCTGATAAGGATCGGTTACAGTTTTTAGAACTGGAGAGTGACGTGACTGACTCGCTTTCCCATGACTGTGGAGGTGACTTTAGAAGGAACTAGACAAGAACAGGAGGCAAGGGCGCTGGGAGATTGCCATCGTTCACCTCCCGCCGTAGAGGTGAAACTCCGCGTGTAACTCATTTTCTTATCTGGAAAGTGGAGTAACCATCGGCCTGACTGGGTGGTGGTTTTGTGTGAAAGTGAAATAACTCATATAGGTGAAAGCACTCAACTTACTAAATAAAGTTCAGCAAATATGAACGTCTCTTAAGAATAGAAGTAACAATCTACCGCTTCCAAACACCACCTGTTATATAAATTTCAACTATTACAATGCCGTATGTCAATTATCTCATTTTTTAAAAACTCCACTTTTTGAAAGATGTGGAGTCTGGCTAGTGGCACAATCAACGATATATAAGCGCCTTTTAAAGGGAAGGGGCTAAACCGCTCACTTTCAAAAGCAGCATCCACATACGCGTGGTTCCGTCATGAAACAATAATCCTAGCTCAGTATTTGTTAGGTGCCTTCGCTTCCAAGCCGGAATCTGTCGCATGGTATAACAACCAAAGGACGGAGGATGTACGAAAAAACTCGGACTACTGCCCAGCATGCCACCTTCCCGGGTAGCAAGTGCCCGGGGCCTCGGGGGAGCCCCGGTCCCCCAGCGCCCCATGAGGAGGGCCGCCCGTCACTCAGCGACCA